GACTAGTTGGGTGATACTAAAACAATTAGACCCTTCGCCCTCAAGGGCCACGGGTCGATACCCCATTCGGCTTCGCCTCATGGGCTATTGACCCCTAGCCCTTGCGGGCTACGGGTCTAATTGTTAAATACTGTTCGATGTCTGGTGCCTACATAATATACAGTACTTAGAAGTACATGCGCATCCGTATTAAAGAAGCGCGCGCGTTTCATCTCGCAACAAAGAACATCATTACTCAATTGTTACCTAGGTACACAGGCTAGAAAACTTCCTAACGGCAACTTACTAGCTGCAATTCCAGCGATCAAAGATGAAGGTTTGTTCTGTACGACTTCTGTTGAAAACCACGTGGAATCTAAATGTTATCTTCTCGATAAAAAGGAAAGCACTATTGCCAAGCTGCAAGATATACAATTCAGCGAACTCCAGTAGCAAGGCGACGAGTGCTTTGACGATTTGGAAATGGGAGTCGATAATGTTGAAGAAAAATGAAAGCACTGAGAGCAGGCGGATGTAAAACCATTTCAACTAAGAGCCGAAGCTGAAAAAGGGATATTGATGTAGACATTCAAGCAAAGCTGTTCTCGAAGCTCAGAGATGAAAATGCTTGACGCGGCGACAAAAAGTGTTCCGCGAGTATGGCAACAAGCCCTCGAGTCTTTATCAAGATTGGTTGCACCCTGTAGCTTGACGTTGTAGGAGCGTATGCATAACGTAACTTAACATAACGTAACGTAACATATCGTAACGTAACGCAACCATTCTTCCTCTAAAGCATAGAGGACACGAAGTTGAGGCGTAATAACGACGTAAAAATTAAATTTTGAGAATTTCACTCTTTTCCATACGAGAGAACTAGATAACAGGCTATAGCTGATTTAGAAAACGAGTGGTTTTGTTATTTTTTTAGACAACAAACGGTTCTTTTTCTGTATCACTAGTAGCATTTGAAGAGGGCGAGGCTCTTGTTAATAATAAGGCAAAAATAGTGCTTAGATGATACTGTATACGTTTCCCCTTCTTTAGTATTTAAGAACTAGTTGACTGAAAGGCTGCTGGAAGTTTTCATTTTTTATGACTAGGATAAACAAAATCAAGAAACAACCTTAGACAAACTAGTCTAAAATGACGGAATCCTCTACACTCCAATCTTGCCTTCCGAGGCAAACAATATGGATGTGCAAACTCATAACAAAAAACACATGGTTCTTCTTTCTGTTGATGCCAGTAAGTGACTCGAATAAGAGTAAATAAACCTGCCACTATCACTGTTAATCAGGACAGTGGCTCACATTACCGGGTGTTATCAACATTTCTTTAACATGAGGAAGCTAGGAGTATTACTGGACCTTGTTACTCCCCCCGGATGTGATGGTTGGATACTCATTTATACCCTTGGTGCGAAGGGGTCACCTCACGTTTGACCATGATCTCCAGGGGGTAATGGGCCTTTCACGTCCCTTGGACTGCCTGACCCCTGCCAGGGCTCAAACCCAGATCACTCGATCCGGAGTGCAAGTTGATCTTCACCGTTCTTCCTCCGTAATTTTTAGGCTAGGGGCGTTGTTAACAGTTCTTGTCTTCTTTTTCTTTGGCCAAACCCGAAGAACTTAACAGATGTTGAAAGCCGCCCCTGAAGCCCAAACCACCGTGTAAATAAACAGCAAAGAACACAGTTAGAGTTAGTATAATATTTTATTACAAACCGAGTTAGTTTATTGACAATGATCCTTACGCAACCTACTTATTATATTTCAATCTTTCCTTGCCTGCAGGTGAAATCATAAACAAACGAATGAATCAACGTCAAGAGGGTGTCTTTCAATTCTCCTTACTGCGCAATACAAAAAAGTGAGGAAACACGATTTCTGAAAAAACTAGCCAAATAGCAAATTTAGTTGCAACAGAGTAGATTGTATAATATTGCTATAGGAGGATTCAATTTTCGGGAGAAAAAAAGCCTCAAAATATCATGTTTTCAAGTTTTAGCGAACATGTGAACGCGACGGTTCGGCGTGCAATGCGTCACTGCGATAACATGAAAATCAACCAATCACAGATTGAATGCTCGTCCTTTGTTATATTTTTTATGCGGAAGGCCTTGTTGCAAGGACGCTGCTCCGTCTGCAAAACAAGTGGCTTATCTCTGTACTTCGTCCTCACCCCTAATCACACGGGATTCGTCTTCATTTCACTTCACCCTTATGAAAAACCAACCATCAGGGTTGCTAATTCGCACACGCCAGCGTAATACTAGATTAATTAATGTAATAATGTGGTGTAAATAATGTGATCTAATACTATGAATTAATATGCAAACCGATTTCTTCTAATCACAAGAGTATTTTATATTATTAAATAAATTTTTCTTACATTAACCCCATGGGTACCTAGTGAATCGACACGGTTTTCATTCATAACTTGGCTTTTCCTCTTTACATTACAAATCAGTGCTACCTTCAATGTACATTCGCCCAGTCATTATTCATATCAAAAGGAACAAAAATAAGTAGCCCAGTAAATAGGAATATTGATATTGGACCTTACTTTTAAGGTTATTACCTCGCTTAATAACGAGTTAATAACGAGTTTCCCAGGTTAACACGCGAAATTTTTCAAGTTTTCCCATTAAAGTTCATTAAAAAATGTGCTGTTTTACATGTATACATATGCGATATATGTATATACAAATTCACTTCATCAGAGTTCGATTTGACCCTATGCTTCTTCATAGAAAGCATCAATCTTGTCTTTGAACATCTTGGCCACAATAGGTCGCCTCAACTTTAGAGTAGGACCTGAGAAAATATATTTACATTGATGTTAATGATAATAATTATAAAATAACGGAGATACTACGCGCGCTCTCATTGGTCGATAACACGGTTGTGACGTTTTTGGTTCGCTCGTATTATTGAGACGTTTTTTATAAAAGCAATAGAGTACTTTTTGTGTGTTTACATAGCCTCATCTCAACACTCGAAAGGCTGGGAGAATTCTCGAAAGTTATGAACTATCTCGAATTCTCCTGACCTTCCTAGTGTTTACACGAGGCTATGTAAACGCGCAAAAAGTACACTGTACTCTAGTGCTTTAATGATTCATAAAGATTAATACAATAATGATGGTCAGGAGAATCTTAAGGTGACAAACGGCATGAATGAAATTAGATGGCTGTCCTTGCTATCGTGCCCACAATATTTGTGCTAAACGTCTGGAAACAATGCAACAAGCTAATTTCGCACCCAGATCTCACGCTGCTTGATGCGGGAGACCTGGGTTCAACATAAGAAACAAGCACACCGAAGATCTTACCCAGCTCTCCCCCAGGAATGGAAAAGTCTTTTTCTAAAAGAGCCCACTTCTGTACCTGGAAGAAAATAGGGGAAAAGCAATTCAAGTCTCCTGCGAAGCCTAGCTATTCATAACAACCCGTATCTAACTGACGTTATGGCAGTATGAGATGATAAAATACTAGTCAATCACAGGTTATATGACGAGGTTCTTCAACAGTTAAGCGTTACCTATCGGCACGCCTCGCACGACAGAGCAAAGAACGTTGCTCAAGGACCTAACATAATGACGTCCTCTTCGTCTACCTGATCTTTCCCAAACCAGTGCAACCAGAACAATCAAGAATCAGCTGACGTCGACATCCTGCTTATCAGAACTCTCCGAACCCACGGTTTTCGTCTCCGACGTTGCTAAGGAACACGAACGAATTACACGATGCCACCGTGACAACTTTCGGAGTGTTAGTAAGTGCTCGTACTAGATTGTGATATGATAAACTACTCGGAAACTGTTCGAGTGCTTTAACAAACATTCCTGTTTTCCGACTAAGAGTTGCACACAACTCCTAAGTCACACTAGTTAGCCTTACGTTACAATTTCTACTTTAAAAGGCTACCTGTTTGAAACGTCACCTCCTTAGCACAAACATGCAGCGGTTGCTTTTCTTCTAAAGCTTAAAACATTTCATTCTCTGGCAATGTTTTATGTACCTTCTGAGCTCTTGACACAGCTTTCTTATTGGCTCGATCGACTCCGTCTTGAATGGCTTTCATTATTTTCTCATCTTTGGTTGACAGAATCTCAGAAACTGTCGTGGCCTCACTGCCGACGGACTTGCAGAACTGGAGGGCAACATCCGTGAGTTTATCCGATGGTTCGCCAGTCTCTACATCGACAACAACCTAGCCGTAAAAAATAACTGTTGGTCTACACAAAACGGTAAGTTAACGGCTGAAAGTTACATTTCAGCAATAATTCGACTTGCCCCACCATGAGAACTCGCCCTACCATCCCCTCTCAAATCTCGGAGGCAATATGTTGTGGCCTATAAGTACTAACTTAAGGCATGATGACACAGGTAGATTTGGGTTTAGCTCTTGGTTGCATAATGGGGATAAACTCTATTTGCAGACAGAGCTACGAGGTTGTGTATTTACCTTCAGAGTTAAGAAGCAGGAAAGAAACTTTCTCTTATCTCCGATTACCATGGCGTTACTGATTATAGCAACTTCTTCTTTGATAGCATCCTCAATCGGGACCGGGGCTATATTTTCACCGCCAGCGGTGATAATCAACTCTGCGAAAAAAATCACAACATTCATTAGATGGTGAATTTTGCGAGATAATGTGTATGCAAGTTTGACAGTTTCTCAATTCTCCTTACTGATCTTCATAAATTTCTTTTTACGCAAGTTGTGAGAATATGATATGGCATCAAAGTTTTAGAGATCTGATTGTGTTACTTCGCCTGGAAAACCCTGACGAGAATTAGGACAAGTAGTTANTATGGCTACCGTCTGATCACCGTTTGGCACACATGAAGCTATGAGTAACGTAACATTTACTCTGCGAGAACAAGACGCCCGATCAGATTTTTATAACAAGTGATATTACTTATTCTTCTTAAAACACGTGCTGTTATTTCTTTTACTATTTTCATAAGTGTTTATGACAGATAATGGGATTTACTCACCCTTGATTCGGCCAGTTATGTACAGTTGTCCATTCTAAAGTGGAGGAAAGAAAATCTCTAGCTACTGAATCACATTCAAACGGTTATTGATGGAAATTAGAGATAAAAATACCGTAAAAGACTGTAGAAACTAGTGTGACAATAATGAAGATATAGCTTTATAACGTTCGATAGTATAACGCATACAAATTCGCGTTCAGTTCATGGAGTGTTAATTTCCTATAATAGGGAACATTCGATTACCCGGAATCTGTTTAATTTCCACACAGCAGAACTAACCTCGTCGATTTTTCCAATGTCTCCGGAGTGTAGCCAGCCCTCGCTATCCAAAGTTTCATTTGTCTTTTCTTCGTTCTTCAAGTATCCCATGAAAACATGGCGTCCCCTGATACATAACTGAAAGGCAAACAACAAGAATGGTTAAAAACCAAAACAGATGTTCTAAAATGTGAGCACATATCTAATTTTTACCTAAAGCCAGAACATCACACTTCACATCACACACAGCATTTCAAATAAAATGGCGAGTGCAATGACCCAAAGCGTGCTATATCGAACAGTAGGGAGTGANTAAGTGTTTATGACAGATATATGGGATTTACTCACCCTTGATTCGGCCAGTTATGTACAGTTGTCCATTCTAAAGTGGAGGAAAGAAAATCTCTAGCTACTGAATCACATTCAAACGGTTGATGGAAATTAGAGATAAAAATACCGTAAAACACTACTAGAAACTAGTGTGAAAAAATGAAGGTATAGCTTTATAACGTTCGATAGTATAACGCAACACAAATTCGCGTTCAGTTCGTGGAGTGTTAATTTCCTATAATAGGGAGCATTCGATTACACGGAATCTGTTTAATTTCCACACAGAACTAACCTCGTCGATTTTTCCAATGTCTCCGGAGTGTAGCCAGCCCTCGCTATCCAAAGTTTCATGTGTCTTTTCTTCGTTCTTCAAGTATCCCATGAAAACATGGCGTCCCCTGATACATAACTGAAAGGCAAACAACAAGAATGGTTAAAAACCAAAACAGATGTTCTAAAATGTGAGCACATATCTAATTTTTACCTAAAGCCAGAACATCACACTTCACATCACACACAGCATTTCAAATAAAATGGCGAGTGCAATGACCCAAAGCGTGCTATATCGAACAGTAGGGAGTGAAAGAAAACCACAACGGCAACGGCAACGTCGCTAAACGACAATGGTTGTGCACGTGCGTTATAATAGAAGAATACAAAAGCAAAAACCG